CCAGCTTGCTTCACGACTCACACTGGCAACGTCACTGTCTTGGTCGCAGTCCCCGCTTGCTTGACGTGTCTCGGAGGAGTTCTGGAGTGAGTAGACTTCTGCAGGCAGTCAGCCCAGCATCGGTTAATCCACCATCTAATTGTACACCGTGACAGCAGCAGCAAACGAAGTTTGGTCGCGACTGGAAGCTTTCACCAACATTGCCGAGCATCTTCCACCGATGACACCTACTACGCAGTTATTTTTCACTTCTTTTTAAAGAAATAGAGCCTTCTAAAGGCGTTCACTTTGCAGGTGTAAGCGTGTCAGCTCGTGCTACAGATGCCAGTCGAAGAGGTCAAGTTGTGGCGACACCTGCAGAAGAAGATCTTTCCGTGACCGCCATGTTCCTTATATAATTCACACCCTAATGTGGGTAAGTGCATTAGTGCTGCGGCGATTTCATTCTACGTATAGACAAGTACTAGATTTTAGTTTTGCACATGCGATCGTAGAACTACTAAAATTTCGCGCGCTAAGAAGACTAAAGCTCCTACACAATCCCGATGCTTGTTGCTAGCTGTGTACAGGGTTGTAGAGGCAAGGGACCTGGGAGCGCCAGTCGTGAGGACGGGATCTAAAGACTGAAAAACAGTAGTAATTCTTTTTGCTATTTACTGGTCAGCCTCCCTCCCGCCAATAAAATAATTACTTTGCTTTTCCGAGCTCTGACTTTTATTTTTTTTGCTGTAGCGTGCCGATCTGAAAAGGAGATGAGACAGTGCTTCATTCCGTTAGTGATACAGACACAGAAACACACCGCAACATCCAGCGCTGCTAGATTTTCGAATGTATGTGTATTTAATAGAAATGGTTACCGTCCATGTCGCGCCGTCTGACCTTAATGCACGACTTTCAAAACCTGGAGCTGAAACCCTGTCAAACAGGGAAAGACAGGATGAACTTGGTTTCCATCATGGCGACCCATCATGACAATCTCCTTGGATCCATGTCTAGACGAGTTGCACGCTAGACAAATCCCTGTAGGTAACGATCAGCCTGGGCGCTTTTCAGTCTTTGAGATGGCTACCATTGCAATCCGTCCAGAACGACGTCCGATCTCACCCTGACAAAGGTTTCTCTACAACGGCTATCGAGATAGTATTATGTGGCGCCATAAAAGCACGTCTAAAAAGCTACATGTATCCAAAAAATGTGTTCTGTCGTCCATGAGTCCAGACAAGATTTCGCAAAAGGGGTTGTTTACTCAGACGCCGTCGCCACGAGATAACAAGTCGAATGGCTGTCAAAATAGCAAGTGTGTGCAAATGCAAATGCAATCACGCTCACTACAAGTACCACGATCTAAATCCTCCTTAGTCTTGAGCTGTTCCAAACACTGCCAAATCGAACGTATGCTCCACACCTTTTCCAAAACGGCATTCTAATACTTGATTGGTCTATCACTTCAACATGCCTACTAAAACGCATATCTCATAAAACCGAGCTGGATACAGCATCTAAGTAAACAAATCCTACCAAACACTATATTGTCAGCTAGTCGACGGCTCACTCATGGGTCACCTGATTGTCTAAGGTGAAGTGCTGGCTGTGAGCCCTGCCTCATTATCAAACAATCCCAGTCAAGCGCAAGCACCAAACCAGTCCAAGCCTATTGCAATCATGACACGCGAATTCTTGAGTCCGCATTGCTCATCCTGGTCGTTTAGAAGCAGCTTCAGCTTTAGTGGTGGTAGCACTAGCTCTGGAGCAGGGCTTCTCCAATTCAATATTATACGGAATTTCCTGCCGACCACAGCAGTAATAATGATTCAATACCTCAAGAAGCAATAATAAAAACGACCGCAAATACTGCAATGTATTATCATGACTCTGACTCACTTCGAACGGATGCCAATGTAGTCACGTCCCACAGGCTCCTGTTTGCCCGTTAGTAGTTCGAAATTGGCGGGTAGCATGGACGTACGCTGTTTGAGGCGGGAGGTTACTTTGAAAAGTGAGCGAGCGAGGTACAAGAGGCTTCTCGACCTCACCTACTACTGTAACCAGTCGTTTTAACATCAACAAGTAAGTATGGCGTATAGATTCGACAAGATATGGTGGTGAGCGAAGCTCTGTTGTCCACCAATTCGAGTTTTGACCTGGAATTTGTATGAGCTTACTTTTGTACATTATATTGTGAGAATTGGTCCAATATGATATTATATTTTTTGCGAAAGTTGAAATAATCCGCTTTTTTGTTGTGAAAAACTGATTTTAGTCGTACGGAAAATTTTTATTCAGACCCCTGCTCTGGAGTATCAGGCACGAATTTCAACAAGTTCGACGTAGCGTCCACAGTCACTGCCAGCCCACTCGACAGCGACAGCACTTTGGGATTTTACGAGACGGTGCAGTCCCCATTACCGACCGTCTACGAACAGAGGGTCAACTATCAATCGCGTCGCAGCTTGGCGCTCCTGATCAACTACTTCGCTGCTGGACTATTCCACGGTGTCGTGCCAGCTCTGGTATACCCGTTGTTCAAGATCCGCTTAGGGCTGCAAGGTTACCAAACAAATGCAACACAGACATTACTGGGATGTGCGTGGCACGGGAAACTGGTGCTGTGTCTGCTAACGGACTGTGTACCAATTGGCGGACGCAGACGGATTTCGTACATTTACATTGGTTGGACGCTCGTACTGTTCATTCTCGGTTTAATGATGATACTTCATCCAGATGATCGTGACCTTGGTGATGCGCCACGACTCATTTTCATGATCACCGTTGCGTCAGTCGGGCACTTGCTGGTGGACGCGGCGTGTGACGGATTAATGGTGGAAGCAGTTAGCGGCGACAGCCAACTCCAAGAGAGAGGAGTGCTTCGCAGTGCGAGTCTTTTGCAGACTGCAGTTCATGCTGCAAGATTCATTGCAGAGTCAATGGGGACGCTTCTTGTTGCGGTTGGAATGAATTCGGAAGAGTATAGCGGTGGGTTTTCATTTGAGATGTCGCTTCGAGGGCTGTTTGCGGTTTTGCTTGTGGCTGCCTTGGCTGCATTATGCGCAGCAGTGTGGGGCTTCGGTGAGACGTGTAGCATTAGAACCGAGGCTGTTAGCGATGCCAGCTCGATATCTGTTGCAACTCCGAATTTGCAATCAAAACTGGGCGAGTTT